TGTCTGCTATTAATAGTACGCGTAATGGAACATCGCGATACGCTGCAATGGACTTTTTAAAGTAAATTGTGCGAGTAAAAAATTACTTCGTTTGCTATTTATCTTTTTAATTTGTAAGCTAGAAAATATGTGAACAAGCAATATCTTTGAGGCAGTGTCTAAAGACCGATAACGTAGACATTTTTGACATTTATCGTTTACATCTAAACGATAAAGCGTTTTCAATTCACGGTTGGCCATTGCGCGTATCTCTCGACCGTGTAACTTAAACTTTGAAAGTACATTTAAACGTAGAATTGATAACTAAATATTTCCCACGATACGAAAAGTAATTATAGCTCGAAAATGAAAGAAAATTATACAAAATTGCACGTAAGAAACTCGCAGGTAATTTCTCGAAACAACATAACAGCGCAACAATTTATATAAACACGAAACAGCACGGATTAATATTCCGTTCCATTGTCAACTTTACCCTCGTTTTTTATTATTATTATTATTCTTTCTACCACGTACATCTCGCTATACGTATTACTGACAATTATCATTATTATTAATATTATTATCGTCATCACAGACGTTCGATTATCTATTCGAATGAAATCCTCGGCTCTCGATAAACTTTATTATGCATAATCGATACCTGTACCAGTAAAATCGTACGAACGAAGCAACCTTCGTCGGTTCGCAAAGTGTGAGGAATGTTAATCAATGGCGGGGCTGTTGAACGGCAAATACGTTTGCCCCCTTCGGGAAAGTACATAAATCGTATTCTGGTTCGCAGAATTGGACAATCTTATTTCTGGTTCGCACCCTTCACGAATGCGCAAATATATCCGGCGAGATAAATTACATTATTCGAGGGTCAATGAGATCGTTTCTGTAATCACGCGATGCACACGTAGCTCAATGAAATTACTGTTTCGTGGTATTCCACATTTATCGCTGCTATAAACGACGGTATGCAACAGACATCGGGACTTTCGTTCTTTTTTCCAAGCCCGCCGCTGAAGAATTAACGAGGCGACGAATCGGATATAAATCATGCGGTTGAATCCGTTAACGAAATTCATTGTCTCGTATTTTAATCGCATATGAGTTATCGCGACGTAGCTTTATGTGTTTTACGTTTTGAAGAATCTCTTACGGGAACGACTTGCGTTAGACGCAGATTGGAACGGGATGTTAAATTTCGAAATATCGTAGAAAAATTGCCCCGTCTTTAACGATTTACGCGATAAGACCTTCTTTACCTCCCATATTATTTTTCAATAAATCGAATGTAACGATCTTCTAAGGAATATCGTGCCAGTCGATTAGCCGTGCGTAATTCTTACCGTTAAACGTTAGTACGCGTTAACGCACTATGTGTACACATACTACATGCTATGTATAACTTCGGTTGGACATTAGCGTGGAATGGGACAAACGAAACGGGTGTGATCGCTTAATACGCACTTGGCAAGTGTAGATAATCGAAGATTCTGGTTGCTTGTCAGTAAGCGAACCACAATATTTCTAAACTCGCTGTAATTACATCTCGTTCCGAGAGATTACGTATCTCGCGTATATCCTTTTTTCTAATTACACACTGCGTAAACCTGTTCCACACAAATTTGCATCGTTGCAAGAACCGCAAAGTTTCCACTCGATAGCGAGGCATTTTTATAATGACGGAAATTTTGCTCTTTAGCTTCGCGGAAAGCAGACACTGGTCGGAAGAGAGCAAGCCCCGCCCTCGTTCCATCAACAAAGAATATAGCTCGATACGATTGATCGATCGATCGCTCGCTGAAAATTACGTTTCTTCGAGGAATATAACGAGAATACGTATCGAAGAAACGCTTTTCCTTTCTTCCGTCTTCGCCTATTTGGAACAAGCGCGAACGAAGATCGAATAACGCGTGTTGTTGGTGCCGCAAACGGGTTCGGATAAAACACGAATCAATGTCAGTCCCGCCAACGATGTATGCGGAAAAGATGAAAGCCGGATCGGGTTTCCGACTTTGCACTTGCAGCCATAACAGCGTCTGGACGCAACTATCCTCGCAATATAGCAGCCGTTCGTCTCGGCGCACAGTGCACACACGTACTGGCTACGTATGAAACTAGAGGCATTATCCTCAAGTTGTTAATTTCACGCGAACATGTCGTTGTTACGTCATTGATATGACAATACGCGTGATGAACGTACGATGTACGAAATATGGGATTAATCTGTACGCATATGTACGTATGTAGTTAATCAACGTACGAAAAACCCGATTAGCCATATTTTTGTGGAAGAGATGGTTGGTCGTGTGATGTTAAATGACGAGATAACTCTTTGTTAAAAACGTAGAGTGTATTTCGACTCGGACTGACGAAACGGATCGCCTTACGATCGCGTTCGATTATTTATATTGATCGAGGGGAGGATATCGGTAAATTTCCAATCGCCTTTGTCAGACGGTTTCCACGTAGCGGCGACATCGTTTCTGCCCGGAGTTTAGTTATTACTACAGTATGTGCGTGTCCTACGATATCGATACTCCGAGGCAAGACCACACGCGGCTCGATCAGTCCTCTAAGTCGTGCGCCGCTACATTTTCAACTTTTTACAAGGCTGTAGTTCTCTAGTTCAGTACGTTGTCGACAAGTCCCATGTTGACAAAATTGTCTTCGTATTTGCTTTCGTTCTTTTGTTTCTTTTAAACGAATAATCTGTCAGAGAATAGCAACGAAAACGCTGGAATCTTTAAGACGAACGTCTCTCACGATCTTCTTTGCGTCAAACAACTTCACCTTTAGACTAGACTTTAGATCTTGGACGAATTCTCATTCCTCTTACCAGTTTACGCATCGAATATATCTACTTAACTATGCAGTTGGCTTTGTATACTTTGTGCATGTTACGAACCCTCGTAAAACGGCGGCTGCTTCGAAAAAAAGACCCTCCTGACGACATTTCCATTTGGAAAGTTACGGTCGTGAACGTTGAACTTCGCCCACGTCTGTAACGTTACGACTCAATAACGCGAAACCCCTAAAGCGCGGCACGCGTAACCAATCGACTGTACAAAGTCGTGGCTTCCTCGTCGATTTTGCGAACTCCCTATCTTCTCCGATACCGACTCGTCAAACCCACAGAAGCAATCGTGTTTCCTTAGCTTTCGGTAAATTTCGGCAAACCGTCGATCTCCCACGATAGATATTTCCTAAGATAAATATAAAATTTGCAGTTACGTTTTCTATTTTTAATAGCCAGATTAGATCTCTACTAGATTTACAACAATAAACACTATATTTTACCAATGATAAAACGGATACAACGTTCTTCGAACGATCTTCGACGGATAGCGAACACAGACTTCGTGAAAGCGATAGAAGTTCCATGTTGCCGAGTGAAAAAGAGAAACCTGTTTTATCAAACGATTTTTAGCGGTTCTTCTCGATTCTCTTCGGTATCCAAGCATTTCTCCTAACGTTCCGTTATTCGATAAAAAATTCACAAGAAAACTCTGTGACTCGATATCGCTGAAGCTGCTTTAAAAATATCGGATGTAACCGATTTTAGTCGTTAGTCGTACAGAAAGGAACAAGAAAGGTGGATGGAAAATCAGTAAAATAAACAAAGAAAAAGTTAGATCGTTAAAGAAAACGAAGATAATGATATACCAACGATGGCAAGTGGCAAATGAGCATTAAATTAAAAACGGACACGCGAACGGTGGGCGGTTTCGGCGCCGTAAAGTCGGTTTTTCGTTCCGGTCGTACGCATTCTTTACGGTTGTCGACGGGCTGACCACGGATTTTTCCGCGGTGCAAACCGGGTAAACGCTGTAATTAGAGCCGATGAAGAACACAGCCGCTTTCGCTCGTCTAGAAACGAGTTACCATAAAGCGGACAGCGAAATCACAGCGCGGCGTAATGCCGGCGAAAACATAATGCTCGGTGTGCGGTCGTCGGTGGCCGGTCGAGCTGGTTCCGTGTTATACGTAATGTTAATTTACATCCTTCCATCGGGAAGCGTCGTTAATATTTCACCCCGCGTTAGCCCCGTTTCGCCGGCCAACCAGTAGCCAATACGACGAAACGAAGTTACCTGTTAAACGAAGGGGACGGAAGCGATGTTGCGCGAACCACAGCACCTCGCCAATTAGAACGTGATAACGACGAGTAATTAGACTACGTCACTGATAACGATCGCGAAATCTTTGCCTGCTTCTCGGAACGAATAAATTCTTTCGATTCGAGGATACCATAAAAGTATGCGACGATCGTAGCTAGCGATGGTATCGAGTTTAACGTATCTTCGATTTAATGACGTATAACGATGTCATTGCAGACGATACGTCGATAAAGTTATTGTTTTACGTTTATTGGAAACGTTTTACGTTTGTTAAAACGAAACGATCTACGAGATTGAACGTATTATACGCGCGGGGTCTGGAAAGTATCGGAACGCTGCTAGACACCTTTTACGATTATACGTACCTTCTACGTGAATTGGCCGAAATATGTTTAAACTTCATTAGCATCGTTACGAGACTCGGCTACTCTGATCTCGTCGTTTCAGCGTATACGATATCTGTCACGCGATAGTCGAGCCTCGCAGGACCACCGATCCAGCGTACATACAAACGCTTAGCAACGATATGTGGTATTTTTGGAACGTCGTATATGCCATTAATTTAGAAGCTTGTTACGTAAGGTTGATCGCGGACCGCCAACAACAAGCTGGATTAAAGGGAAGAACGTACGTGATAAAATATTGGCAATTTATATTCAGACGCAAACTTTATTCGACGGAACAGCGAAATAATTCTAATCGATGAACTCGCGAAAGATAGATGCGAAATAAATTCGCGACATTTCGACCGTACCAATAGCTTTCATTGCTCCTGTTAATTTACAACAAGCTGGAAAAGTTTTCGTACGTTTGACAACTTTTCTGAAAGAAAATCCCTAGACTCTAAACTAAACCCTAAGCTAACCCTCTCTTCATATTGTGTTTCAGCGCGAGTACACGGACGACTGCGTGTTCAACGAGACACTGGAACAGCACAATTACAACACCTACAGCTCGGCGAAATGGTCGACGGCAAAGAAAACCTTGTACCTCGGATTGAACCGTCGTGGCCAGCCGAGGAGGGTACAGGCCAAGGGTCACAATTTGGGTAGACTGTCCGCCTACGCGCGGGTATTAACTCAGGTCGCTCCTTCGGAGCGAGTGGAGGCTCTTCAAAGACGGCTGTTGGGAGCTCAACACAACGTTCGTCATCGGCATAACAGTCATCGCGGCGATTTGATTCAGCAATCCCTCTGTCCCACTCTTCCGGTACAGGAAAAGGATGGCAGAGATAAATTCAGGTGTCGCAAGCGAAAAAAGAGAAAGAAGAGGAAGCGAAGGTGCAGGCCAGGCGAGATGCCGGGTCCACAGTGCCAAATGGTAGAGGAGAGCGGGAAGGGTGTGGTAGTTTCGGGCAGAAACGAGAGCCTAGCTTCGAACGGGACTTCGTTAGAGTCGAAGAGGTCCTGCGAGGGTGCTGCGAGCGAGGAAGCCTGCCGAAGAGAGGCACTTTCGGTTCCATCTAAGAAACGGAAGCTACGGGTCGACCAGACGAAAGGAGGAATATCGTCGGCTGGCGGCAGGAACATCGCTACGGGCAGAAAGGTGGACGCGAGCAGGAACGTCACCGTGAGCAAATCGATCGCTGGAAGTAGGAACGTCACTGCGAGCAACAACGGTGAGAGAAAAGCACCAGCGTCAAACTCAAAAAAAGTAAAAGCTGCTGGCAGCATGAGTCAAAGTAAAAAGCCCAATTTGACAGATGGGAAGAGAAAGAGGAAGAAGGGGCCAGCAGCGGCAACGGCAGCGGCGGCG